TTGTCGGAAGACGCAGGAAACTCTGAAGGGGTAGTCCTTGGTCTTATAGGTCGGTTCAGGGGTCCTAAGAGCCTTAGCCCTATGGGTAACCTGAGCCTGACCATTGAGAAAAGGAAACCATCCCTTCTTGTGAACTGCGGTAGAATTCAGGAACTTTAGAAGGGCCTCGTCTACAACAGGTCTCCGTGCATACTCTGTAACCTTACGAGTTTTAAGTGCATGTGCGATGTTGGGATAATCTTCAACGGACCTTTTTTTTTGTATGGCCAGAGGTAACTGACGGATCCTTCACTACGCAGGACTTCAGGAAGTGACAAAAGTCGGCTTCCTCTTCGGTGGAAGAGCCTGCCGCAATTTCAGCCGTCCTGTCAGTCGAGTTGGGCTGGTCTTCGACCTTGGGTTCTCGCCAGGCTCCTTCATAGCAGACGTAGGTACATCTATCTGCCCTAGTAGGGACCAAACCACAGGCTCTAATGAATTTATCAAGGCGGTTCCACCACCTTCTTGGTGCATCATTAAGGCCATAGACAGGTCTCATACAATATCCTACTAGGTACGGAGGCACACCTAAGTCACTAGGAAGTTGAATAATGACAGCCCGGCGCGATAAATTGTAGTGTTCCCCCTGAAGGAACGCAGTTTTAAGGTCCAAATGCAACAAATCCCACAAAGAACTGGCAGCCTGCTGACAGACGAGACGGAAACCATACCGCGTAGCAGTGGGAGAATCAGTTTGTTGCTCCCAGCCATGCTTATCCTGAAAATCCCTACAGACCCATCTAGCCTTGAATTTGGTGAAATTACCGTCCTTATCAACTTTAACGGTAAGAACCCAACGGCCTGTAAGGTAATTAGTACCCCCAGGTCCGAACTTGAGAGTACGCTTAATTATCCAGGAAGCGGATGGCACCATTGTCCAAATAACTTTTAAATTCTTCCAGCTTAGCACGACGAATTTGTTTAGCATACTTACGCTGCATTTCTTGGGTAATAACCCCGGCCTTAACCTTCCCTGCCAACAACGTCATGAAATCCTCAAAAGATTCATCACCCAAAAGAGGAATATCCGGAAAGGATTGGCCTTTTGGAACAGCGAAAAACACATCTTCAGATGGAAAAACCTTGGCCTTCATAATCATTGGTGGCATCAGAATCAGAGTCTGAATCCGGCGCAGCCTGTTCCCCCGGAGTGTCTGGCACAGGAGACTGAGCAACAGGAAATTCTCCTTCCGTAACTGGAAGGCCTGGAATTTCTGCTTCATACTCCATCGGAAACGGTGTGTCTACCAGAGGCTGCGAAGGTACCGGTCCGTAGGGACCGCCTCCGTATGGCCCAGAGCCAGGTGGCCCAGGTCCAGGAGGGTCATGGGAATGCCCTAAAAACATATCTTCGTCATCTACGTCAAACGGAGTAGGACTTCCAGGTTCATTAAGATCTGAATCACTAAGATCTCCCCCTGGAACAGGAGGATACTGGAATGACGGATTATCAGAACCCGTGGATCCCGGATCATTAGGTATGCGCCGTAGAAGCTTACCAGCGGTTTCTCCCGAAAAGACAATAAAAGACCACTTGGTGAGATCTAACTTCTCATAGAAGGTCCTAAGCTGGTTAACCAGAACAAAGACGACCTTCTCAAAATCACCAGGTTCCACATAAGAACAACAGATGCAGGATCCTTTTGTAAAACAGGACTAACTTTTCCTAAGGTGCCCCTATATACACTACAGTGCTCAAAGGACAAATGAGGAAGGGTCATTATCCTGACATTCTGCATTAAAGGAAGGAGTTCCCTGGCAATTTCATCTGTGGAGGAGTTAATCTCAACTTCTACACCAAGACGCATAGAATCAACTTTCTTCAAGGATTGAATCAGAGAACTAGTAACAAAACGCTGTGGCAACACATATTGATGACCAACAGGAAGTTTATCAGAAAAGTGCTTCATCTAGCTGATAAGGGACTCATGTGGGAAGATCGTATCACCCAAGCTACTTCTATCATGACGTAGGCTCAATGAACACAGAAGACCATCGTCCACATCTTCGAACAAATCTTCAAAAAGGAAGACCTGCCTAGAATCACAGGATGGTTCCCCCTGCAAACATGAAGCCAACAAAGTAACGAACTTGGAATCATACGATTCTTCCTCACGAAGAACTGGCAAATTATCAACAAGACGCTTCATCCAACCTGAAGGTAAATTTGTGGCCAAGTAGGCAGAGCCATCAGTAGACCGGTTACCTACACAATACATATTGCTCATCCAGCGCAGTGTCCTAGAAGAACGTGATGACCAACACTGAGAAGTGTTAGGAGCAATCACCAAACAGTGCTTCCCCCTTTGGGTTTGCCATCTAGCAACATCAGTACAGAAACTCCAAAGTTCCTTACACATAGAAACATCTTTAGGAGTAATGGCACGCAGGACAACAAGGGATGAATCATATCTAAGAAGGTCCTTCCAAGCTAGAGCTATAGACTGTTGAAGTCCTTTCTTGGAAGAAAGCTGCAAGTCCACTGCAGGAGCTACTGTCTTACCTTGATGACTCAAGTAGGCTCCTATGCCACTGCGTGTATGTAGGACTTCTACACAGTCTACAGGATCATTATCACAACACAAGTGATAACACACTTCATGTTCTAACACAAAAGATGCACTGGCATTGCCTACCTCATCGGTGGATGAGCCTGACTTATTATCTGAAGCAGGCCATTCCAAATGAGGAATCCGAACATCGTGCCATTCATCATGATCCCTTCTGACCTTGGATTGATTCACCCTTAGAAGCACCGTAGGCAACTGAACTAAAACCATAGCACCTTCTTGGGCAACTACAGTACCTCTCATCCATACACCTTCACTCGTCTTCTTATTGTCGTCTTTATGCCAAACAAAAACCTTCTCCCCCTTAGTGTAAGGACCGTCTGAAGGCATAACTCGCTTAGCCAGGTCCTTCTTGAGGTCTATGGACTGTCGCGCTTCCAGATGAGCCTTCATGGCTATGGTCCTCAGCTGCGTCGCGGTCCTGTCCTCAGGAAGTCCTTCTAAGGAGAGTTGTTCAGGATTAGAGGTCTCTACATCTAAGAGGTCTGGAGGTCTTCTACCTGTAGCTACTTCTAAAGGAGAGTAGCCGGACACTGTAAGCTGGCAATTACGGACGAAAACGATTCGTTTCACGGCTTGGCGAAGTGTGATCTTTTCAAACATACCTTCTTCACCAAGAGACTTAACAAACAACACCCACGTCTTTTTGAACAATCGAACAGCGGTTTCGGCACGGTCGGGCCAAGGCGTCCTTGGCCCACACGGATACTGAGCAATGTTATGGTATTTGTAGAACTTTTCAAAGCCCGGTGTGAAAAAAGCAGTATCGCCAACAACTCTTTTCGGAACACAGTTGTTTTCCTCGATCCACAGACGAAGAGCAGAAATTGTTTCCTCCAGCAACAAGGTTTTCTGAGCCGTAGCCCACAGGAGATTTGTAGCGCCATCAAGAACCAAGAGAACAACGTATTTCGCGGCACGAAACTGAATTTCTTGATGGTCCACGAAAATAACGTCACCAAATTCCGACGCACGCATCCCTGAGATTCTGGCTCGCGGCGGACTTGAAATTGAAGTACCACACACCTTGCAACCCTTGACTATCTTGTCATACTTTTCGTAAACAGACTTCGGCAAACCTAGCATGCTAGCCCTTCTATGAAACTGTGCAGGTGACATGTGGTAATGCTTCACGCGCAGCTTATACAACTCTACTTCATTTTCGAGTCTCTTAAGCATACGCTGAAAACTAGGTGAGGCAGCGCTAAGCTCTTGACCAGGCAAAACTGAGCTACTGGGTTATCCTCACGCTTCTTTTGCTCTTGACGCTGTGAAGGCCCAGGTTCCTCGTCGTTGAACGAGCCGCCAGGCAACGGCTTTTTGCCAGGTACCTCATCGTTGGATGATCTCCAAGTTGGATGAGCCTCCTGAAGACGGCTTGCGACTGGAAGACGAGGACTCACGGACAGAGTCTGGAACGTAGATTTCTTCGTCTACGTCACCGCGGCGATTGCCTACTGAGATCGATACCCGGACGTTGGTCCGGCATTCGAAACCTCCAGGCTTGACTTTGAAAATGGTTGTGCCCTTCCAAGGTTTCTCTTGCCTTACTACCTTTGGAGCATCCTTGCCACGCCAGTTGTCCACCTTCTGTTGGGAAGTGCCATCTTCATACTCAAACTTTGTAGCACGAGTATCTTCAAGATACTCCAGAGGAATGGGTGTATTGTTCTTCTCTGGCTTATATGATTGGGACCTAAGCTTCCTATGGACCCTAATCATTTCTCTATTGGGCTCATTTAACACCCATTTATCCTCTGTAACAAGCGCTTCTTCAGAAGGCTGAGGGTCGGCAGAAGTCTCATCTTGCTGGTGAGCAAGTCCAGACTCTTGCGCAGGTTCTTCTTGTGCATGATTGCTGTAATGATAATGAACATGCTGAGTGAAGAAGCTGACACGCTGAACTTGGAACTCAACATTGTACATGTACTCTGCCATGACCTCAAGATCCAACACAAGGCGCGAGCTTCTGGAAGTATCCAGCGGCAAGTGGTAGATGCCCAATGGATCACAGGTGAGAGAGGCATTACCTGTTACCTGGTGTGAGATTTAGAGAAAACCTCAAGTTGCGCATCTGTGGAAGCAACATAAGGAATGGGACCTGACCTTGTTCTACAATGTCAAACTCAGTACAGTGAATTGAACCATAACAGTCACTCATATAAACCACTAACTTCTCTGTGCACTTGGAAGTCTGACTGTTGGCAAAGGAGAACTGAGATGTGGTAGGCTTGATTTCATACCACAAGTAGGTGTTGTGGCCTTGCCTATCGATGTGCTGACAAAAATGGTTCACTGCTGTTCTGGAACCCATAGCCTTAGTACACCCTAAATCTAAGATAACCTTAGTAGGGGACATATCGACCACTTGCAAGGCTGCAGGAGAGGCCATCATGGCTTCACCAGGCTCTTCAGGCTCATCTTCATCATCACGGGACGGTCATCACCATCATCATCTGAAAAGGAGTCACGTGAGTGAGGCTCAAAGTCCTCTAGACCTGAAGGCGGTGTATCACCTGGAACACGAGATCGTGGTAAGAACATCTCGTCTGGATCAGGTTCTCTCCAATGCCTCACCTCATCATCGTCAAAGTCACCTATACCTGCTCCATCATCTTCTGCAGCATGTGTGGCCTCTTGCTGCATGCGCCATTCATGCCATCCATCAGGAGCATCGTCATCATCAGAAAGGGTACCAGGCGGGTGCACCTGCTTCCCTCTTCCTTTATCGTTGCGAAATTCCAAAGTATAGGCGGGCTTTCCTTTAACGATGGGACCTCCTTTACCCTTGCCTATCATATACCTATGAGAGCGCACAACATCATTTGGAAGTTCAAGCGACTGCTGCGGAAGAGTCAGCACATTATCATCTGGCGCAAGTTCTTCCTCTGCTGGCTGATCCGACTGACCGAGGTCATGTCCATACCAAGGGGGAGTAAGATAGGTCGCATCCTTGCCCTTACCTTTGGACATGGAAAAGGGCAAAACAGATGCCAAGGATTAAGGGTGCCAGAGCTGGAACTGGCTGGTTCCCCACTGTTGAGTGGGCCTCCAAGCAACGCAGGGGGTTCCTGGTAACCTATTGGAGTGAAAACCATAAGGTAACCACGACCATAAAGAGACCTATGTTGATGCCTAGACATCCTCTGGTACAGCTCCCCTGAGGTATAAGAACAATGTGCATCACAATCATATCGGAGTTCTGATGGTGAAGTTCTCATGTTGGGACACATGGCGTCTGAAGTCAGAGTATTATCTGTACTTGTCCACTCAGACTCATCAGCAGCATCTGAACCAGAATCCGAAGTGTCCGGTGATGGCGGTCCTACCATTCGGCGAAGTTCCTCCATCAGAGCGTAGTAAAGCCAAATCGGTATGAGCCAGTCGTCGAGCAGAACGTTATAATCCTCTTCGTTAAGGGAATGCACGAGAGTGGCTTCCTGAATGACTTGGTGGAGGTCACGGCGCCAAACAATAAGCCTTATGCTATTATGGCCGTACCTCCGCACCTCAAACTTAAACCTATGACGGAAAATATTGCAGGGGACCCTTACCTCATGTAAAGCTTCAGGGTAACCATTGGGGTCTGAACTAGGTCCATGGGCTCCTGGAATAGTTCCCGCATTCCTAGGATAAAACGTAAGAGTCTGGATGCACCTTTCCTGGGTCGGAAGGCCAGCTTGCTCATGTGGAAGAGGAGGCCAAGGAGAAAAGTCATCACTGTCAGGTTCTTCCTCGGCAACAGCTACAGAGTCTTCCTCAGACTGTTCGGCAGAAACTGCAGGTTCCTCCTCAGAACCAGACGAAGAAAAGGCAACAAGTCTACCATCAGAACTGCGATAGACAGCGCGTACCTGACCACGCTTGTTGGGAGCATACATTGGGATACCAGGCCGGGGAGCCCGCATTCCCTGTGGTTCGGGCTGGCCAGGTTGCTGAATGTATGCCTGCTGCCTTACCCTTCACCTTTCCTTTTGATCTATACCACATACGGCCCTTACCCCAACCAGCATCATAATAATGCGGAAGGATGTAGTAAAACCCAAACTTAGCAAGATCATACCCAAATTCATCAATCCACATTCGAGAACGTGGTGTAAGGCCAAGTTCCCAAGGAGTAGAGGAATGATGCAGGGCAATGATTCCAAGAGAAGGATCCTGAGGAGGAAGGTAGATCCTTTGAAGCACGATTGGGGATAGGCCGAGATTGCGGTAAGGCTGGCTGTTAGGAGGAGGACTGCCGATGTTGTCATCATCGATGTTGCTCCACTCGTCGAAATCTTCATCAAAGCAATTGGGGTAAACGAACCCAACGCTAGAGGAATGGTAATGCCAGCAGGTGTCAGGAACAGGCGGCCGTGGATAGACACGAAGACCCTCCGGGGATTGCGAGGATCTACGCGGCACATAGCAAACGACTACTCTTCCTAAAGGCTTTATCCCAAGTTTGTCATACATAAACTTAGGGAAGTAATGTTCCTTACCTTCAGGAGGAAGGCACAAGCCAGCGGTTGGGTAATTAGCTTGGTAAATTATCCAGAGATAAGCTTCCTCACGCTCTTCCAAAAGGCAGACGCTTAAGCATTTTGTAATACTTAAGGGGAAGAGTCTGTGTGAAGAGGAAGTCTTGTTCCTCCTTCCAAAGCATGCTCCTAGATATTAATTCACCAACAAACCGACCCATTCCATATTGCCAACCTATGAAATGGGGGCCCCTCCAAACGACCGAAGCAAAATAAATCAATGCCCGTCTTGGAAGAATGCCAGTCATCAAGAAGTGGAGCCTTTCAGTGGGTTTAAGGGTAATGTCCTAACTACTGGACCCCAGTCTCCTTGATTCTCTTGGAAGAAACCCCAGATTGTCCACTGCAAGAAGGCAGAATTGGCACCACTTCCTTCACCTGGAAGCATGGCAAAGCTTGGTCCATGGAGGGAGCGTATGAATGCCAGCTCAAACACAATGCGGTTGATAAGGGATTCAGGTCTACGATGGACTTCCGGAAACTCATGAATGGCATCTGAACGGGGTTCATAATCTTGAAGAATACACCAGACCCTATCTGAGATGCAATGGCAGTGATGCCATTCATGAGCCAGAAGCCATTCGTGATAAATCAGAATCCAAGGTTCAGAAATTGACTCCTCACTAAGGAAATGGGAAACATTCAGGTTCATACCAGAGCCAAAAGCTCCAGGAGTCAAGTTCTCAACCGGTGGCATGGAATTACTGGCATAAAAGTAAGAACCATACTCTGAGTCATCACTATCTAAGTCAGGAACATAAACATCGAAACCAAAGTCGACCTCAGAGTCGGTATCACGCCTTTGGGTGTGCAAAGAGCCCCAAGGAGTTCCAGGTTCCTCATCGTTGGATGAGCCTCCTTCTGCAGGCTCTTCATCATCATCATCATCATCATCCATAGGCTGTGCAGCGTCATCAGGCTCATTGTGATCACCATCAGCATCGGGCACAACATCTGGTTCCCCAGCGTTGGCCGGGCCTCCATCAGCTGGTCCCCCAGCGTTGACTGGGCCTCCAAAGGTTGCACCTGTCACCTCGGGTTCCCCGACGGCGGTCGGGCTTCCCACATGATGCATAGCAAAGAAAGAGGAAGGCAACGAAGGGACATCTACCGCAGCTTGAGCCTCAGGTTGAGAAGAAGCTACATGAGAACGACCTTTCTTGTCTTTACCATCTTTACCCTTCTTACCCTTCTTACCTTTCTTGCCTT